AAGTGTGTTGGAATAAAAAGGCTAGGGGTCTTGGAGTAAAAAATTTAGGACTTTTTAATGTGGCATGACTAAGAAAGTGGAGATGGAGGTTGTTAGAGAATAAAGATTCACTATGGAGTAGGGTGCTAGAGTCTAAGTATAATGTTGATAGAATGAATGTGTGGAGGGGTGATGAGTGGGAGATTCATTGCTCTAGTTGGTGGAAGAACATATGGAATATAAATGACTATGTTATGGGTAGAGAAGGATGGTTTAGGATGATGATCGAAAGGATGGCTAGAGAAGGTAATGATACATTATTTTGGTATGACCAATGGGTGGGTAGTAGTTCATTAAAGGAGAGATTTCCAATGCTGTTTACTTTAGCAAGTAATAAGAAGACTTTGATATATGATATAGGAGATTGGAAGAAGAGGAGGTGGCAGTGGAGATGGAGTTGAAGGATAAATCTTTTTGCTTAGGAAACTGATCTTTTGCAAGCACTCACAAAAGATGTGCAAAGGAAAACGCTGGTTCAAGGACAATAGGATAGATGGATATGGAAGCAAGACCCAAATGGCAACTACTCGGTATCTTTTGCATATAATTTGCTAAATTCTACAATCATCCTTGAATTGTTTGGAGATTACAAGCTGATTTGGAACTGAAGGGTGCCTCCAAAAGTCTCAGCTTTTGCATGGAAAGCGATGCAGAATAGAATCCCAACAAAGAAGAACCTGCAGAAACGTAAAGTATTGAGCAGTGAGGATGACATGTCTTGTGCTTTGTGCAGTAGTCAGATCGAAAGCTCAGATCATCTGTTGTTCATGTGTCCAGAGGCATGGAAGGTGTGGTCCTCTTGCTATAATTGGTGGGGTGTTAATGTAGTATCCCAAGATAAAGGCTGGAATCATTTGCTTCAGCATGTAGGATTGTTTAATAACAAGATTACAAGGGAAGCGTGGATGGTAATTTGGTTTGCGGCTATATGGATATTTGGTTATGGAGAAATCACAAGGTCTTCAAGGTAACCTCTGAACACCAATACAAGATAATTGAGGTAATTAAATACCAAACTTTCCAATGGCTCAAAGCTTACGTTTGGTCAGAAATCTCTAAAGACTTATGGTATGTTAATTCGACTAAAGCTTGTAAAATTGGAATGAGGGGGGTGCTTTAACTAATCCAGTCTTCACATAGGATTGGAAATCATAAACAGAAGAGCAAGGAGTAGATATTATTGTTGCACCATGGGGTAGCTCTATTTTGACTATGTTGATTGTGTTGTCTTGCATGTTATAATTTGCTTGTTTTTTGTCAAAGGGCAGGAGTACCCCTTGTACTCCATTCAATAAAATTTCTCTTCTACTGATCAAAAAAAAAAAAAAAAAGGGATCCTTTTTCTGGTTTCCTTCTTATTTGTCACAAGTTTAGAGTTTTATCTTTCTTATCTTGCTATGTAATTTTTTTATGGGAAATAATTTTTGACAAATAGGCTCTAAGAGGATGTTTTGATTTGAAAGAAAAGGAGATGAAAAATGACTTTTTTAACCAAATAAATTATAGTATTGACTACTATTATAATTTGATCAGTTAAAAAATTTATTTCACCTCTCCATTTGTTCCCTTAAATCAAACATACTTGAAAATTGCATCTTAAAAATTTTTGACCTTGCACTTCAAAGTAATAAATTTTAGCCTTTATAAATATAAACAAATAATTAATATATACTTAATTTAATATATTTTTTTGACATTCGTTCTGATTTAGTTATTAAGGAAGGCCAAATTAGCTCATCAATTTCTTTTTCCAAAGTAATTTTTTAATTTCAAAATTGTGTAAATTCGTAGCAAGTTATCATGCTACCTAGATAGTTCGTTGACAAAAGGACCAAGTTGGGAAAGAAAAATAAAGTTGAAGAATGAATTTGATACTTTTTAAAGTTTAAGGAAAAATTTAGTTTAAAACTGAAAGCCGAGAGATCAAAATAAGTATTTAACTTTTTTAAAATTAAATTTGATATTTTAAATGGTTCGCCTTTAATATTTCAATATTATAACTTCATTTATTTTATTTTAACATTTACGTGCAAAGCAAGTGTATTATATATATAGTGAAGTCCTGTTTGAGCAACAAATTGTTGTTGCTCGAACCTTAAGTGGATAGGGCTCATCTTGTTTTTGCATGTCCCATAATTACATGAAAAAAAAAGAAAAAGAAAAGGAATTATTTTAAGAATAATGATAAATAGAATCAAAATTTGAGATTAAATTTGGACCAATAATGTAGCATAAACTCATCATTTAAATGAATTTTATATTAGTTAAAAATTAATTTTTTTTAATCTTTAAACTCAAAATATTATGTACATAAACTAATTTAATAACCTAATATAAATTACATCATTGATTTTAAATTTTGACCTCCCTATCATTACTCTAATTCTAACCCTCACCATACGTTATTGGAAACTTTCAACCATGTGAGCCGCCTCCTTGGAAAATTCATGTTCATAACTTCGATCTGAGTATGACTTGATCCAAGTCAACTCCAAATTAGGTAGCTATGAAATATTTTCAATCTGATCAACTTGTTCTACCCACCTAGAAAACAAATTGTATAACCAATTATTCTCATCTCTCCTTTTCTTTTTCATTTTTTTTATTGATAGGTGTTTTTGAATTAATTTTTATACACTTAACACTAATATTTTGTTAAACGATTTTAAGGGAGCATTTGGCCTTACATTAATTGAATACATTAAAAAAAATAACTTTTTTGAAAACTAATTTTAAAACTTAAAATTTAAATTTAATTATTAAAATAATATTTATTTACTAATAGATCTTATCTTAAAATTCAATTGTTGTTGGCTTTAGCATATGTCACAATCGTAATTAGTTTCGTGTGGGGGCATCAACGTGTTTCAGTGTCCCTAAATAGATGTTGTTGAAATCAAACTTCCAAGAGTTGAATGGCTGACCTGATAATGAGTATATATGGGTATATCCACTATATAAGATACTATATATTTATGCAAAGTCATGAGGTAGCTACAATAACATACAGTACCGAAGTTAAAAACTTCCATATATATATATATATATATATCAATATTCTTACCTGCCAATAATGATCCGAGTTTCTCTTATTATTTGCTGCATTTTTATGGCATCCATCCTCTTCGCCGCTAGAGCTGCTGGTAAGTTGTCACTAATTCATTTATGAAATAAAATAAAATTATCATCAACCGAAATTTTATATATGAACTATACCAATCTTTACTAAATATATAGCTTTGTGTGGTTGCTTTAGCATATGCATATATGTTTCATTCCTCTCATTTCTCATCGTAGGAGTCTCCCTTCTTCATTCATCTATGGATACTGGTACAAATATTTTTGAATTTAGTACATTTCATAATACAGTTACTAAAAAATTATTACTTTTTTTGAAATAAAATTAAAGGCAAAAACATTCAAGCCTACAATTATACATACAATGTAGGGAAACTGACTAAACCAGCTGAATCGATATTATATTTTAATAATTTAACCATATAAGTATAGATAAATGTGTTGAATTGAAAAATATATTATATATAAATAAATTATATTATACTGGTACACTTTTGTTAATATACTTTCAGACACTCATTTAGTTTATTTATTAAAATATAATATATGTACAATTTGATTCAGTCGGATGACTTAGTTTCTACATCTGTATGCATATATGATTGTATTTTTAAATTCGTTTGTCTTAATTTTTTATTAAAAAATAATAATTTTTTAATTAATATATTATACAATGTATTGAACTGATGTGGATACCATTCAATGTGCTTATCTATATGACAACATACATGGTTTATTTATAGATGATGCTTAATTACATACAAAGTGCTAGGCCCTTCCCTTATACACCATACCTTTTTTCCCTGGAAACAGATGGGCAACCACATGATCATGGCTCTCCAGATGGCCCCCATCCGAGGAAAAGACCGCCGCCGCCGGGGGTAGTTAGCAGTTGGAATAACAGGAAGCTCTTTGCTCTGGACTGTGGCGTTAAAGGTGCGGCTTGTGGGAGTCCTTGGATGACGTCATCAACCTCACAAAAAGAACACACAACACAGCTAGCAGCTACCTAAATAAAAGCTGCAATTTTATTATTTTGTCAAGAATAATTAGACCTTTTTCTGTTATCCTTCTTATTAGTCACAAGTCTGGAGTTTATCTTTCTTATCTTGCTATGTAATTTCTTGTATGGGAAATAATTTTTTATCAAATAGGTTCTAAGAGAATGTTTGGTTTGATTGAGGGAAAAAGAGAAGAGAAGTGATTTTTTATCAATTAAATTATAGCATTGGTTAATAATATAATTTAATTAATTAAAAAAATTACTTTTTCTTTTTATCTATTCCCTTAAATCAAACATTTTTTTGCTTTGTTTGGAAACATGAATTTCATCCTGTGTATTTGAATTTAGACACTTCAAATTCAATATCATCGTTTGTTTTTACTTAAATAAAATGTAATTAAATTTAAGTAAAATACATATATTTTACTAGAGTATTTGAAAGAGATAAATTCCGTGTATTTCAAATCCATGCTCAAACTCATGAATTTCAATTTCAAACCTATGAATTTCAATTTGAAAGGGAATTTACTCTGCACTTTCTGCGAACGCAGACGGCGATGAATCCTTCATTTCTGTTAACCATCAACTTTGCCATTGCTCTCACCTTCTTGTCTGGGGAAAGGCTTTGGATAATCTTCTCCAGATCTTCCATGTCGATTTGCCATGTATCCCGCGTATCCCGATCCGATAGCTTGGAAAGGGAAGTCAAAATGCGCTACTTCAGTTCTACCATGGTGAAGTGAGAAGAAAGAGACGGGGATTTTGCCGCGGTCGACGAGGAAGACGAAGTGGCGCGACGGGCTTTGTGAGTTTTGAAGATTTGGGTGCCTGGGTACTACTCATTGTGAGAAAATGAAGAAGAAAGATGGGAATTTTTTTTTTTTTTTAAATGTGGGCTTGGAGAAGAAAAATGAGAAATGGGCTTGTTCTACAGAGTGAAAAAGAGATGGGGTTTTGTAGCCATTACAGAAACACCATGAGAAAATGCAGATCACAGAGGAAATACCCAAATTTGATATTTGCAAGGAAAGGTAATTTTTGGGTGATTTAAGTGAGGTTGCAGAGATGGATGGAATGGAGTGGGTGAGATCTACGAGGGAAATATAGTACCAAAAATAATCAATATTAAAATATTAAAAAAATGAGAGAAAATTTTTTAAATTTCATGTCTTTGCCAATTTCAATTTCAAAAGTTTTGAATTTTCTTAATAAGTAATATTTAAAATAGTTTAATTATTATTAAATGATAATTTTAAACAATTTTATATGTTAAAATCACTTTTAATGATAAAAAGTATCATTGAATTGGCTTTCTTTCTAAATTTAAGTTAATGATAAATTTGATATATGATTAATTTAGTGATTAATTGATAAATTTATTTTTAATTATTTATTAATTGATAAATTTATTTTTAATTATTTATTTTAATTGAGTCTTATTCTCGATATTAATTTATATTAATTTGTTGAGTTTTTCTCTTATTTTTTAGGTTGATTTTAAGTTAATCTTTTTTTTAACTTTGCAAGCAATATTTAAAGGGGCCATAAAAGATAATTTGATTGTAAAGTGTCCTTTACTTTCTGTAAAAGGAATATCAAAACATTAGTTGTTATGCAAATATAATTGATAATTATTTTAGATACAACTTTATTTTTTTATTTTTTATAATGAAATTCTTTCATGATAAGTCCATCCTTATAGAAATTGAATATTGTATGACAATAAAAAAATTGAACAAAAAATAGTGAACATGAAAACAAACTGATTAGTGGAGATCATTTTTTTTTATCCAAATTGTTTGCCTCAAAATAATTTAATTAATACTTTGAAAGACTAAAATTGTTAAACTTTGATCGTATTAAATTTAAATAATGATTAAAAGAAAATTTAACTTAATAGGAAAAATTCAATTTAAATACATAATATTTTAATATATTCAAACAATGTATTTAAAAATATATGTATTTAAAATTTATTTTTTTATTCAATCCAAACAATACATGCATTTAAAATACATGTATTTAAAATACATATATTTAAAATACATGTATTTAAAATATATATATTTAAAATACATATATTTAAAATACAAATATATGTTCCCAAACACAACCTTTAAAAATTTATGTATCAAAAATTTTTGACATTGTACTCTAAAATGATAAAATTTTAACCATTATAAATATATGATAATGATTCATGCAAGTATGACCATCTATGTACAACGTGATGTAAAATCTCAAAATGACTTTTATGTCATTTGGTTTTCTTTACCTGCTGTACTAAATAGGAAAAGCAATATGCTTGAGTTCTGACATAGGAAATGATTTACTTTGTATCTTTAATTAATTAATTTCATGGAGGTTCAGAAAAAAAAAAGAAATCTTTAATTAATTTGGCAACCACAACAAAATTGGAAAAAGAAAAAGATTGGGCCTTCGGCTCAAGCCCAGTTTGACTCAACCATAAAAACTCTGTCTGGGCCTCAGAATCGGAATAGGAGCTCAGTGGGTCCGTCAATCAAAAGAGTCTTTCCTTCCTTGGGGCCGACTCGACTTCTATTATCTATCAAAACTCCTCGGCCGGCGGCGAGAAAAAGGAAGGCAAATGTGTGCATAAGCGCCGTCCGATATTGAGAACGCTGATTTCAGATAAACAAACACACCCTAGAAAATGTAACAATGCATGTTGCAATGAGAGGTATGTCGGTATTCATTAGTCTGTTGAAGAATGTTGTCAAAAGATGTCAGTAGGGTTTGCTGAGTATCTAAATTTTTTGTTCTTCAACTGGGGAAAGAACATAAAGAAGCTGGAATGAAATTCATTATTTTGTTTGTGAAATATGGGGTTTATCAACTTTGAAATTATGGGGTTACTCAATTTTTCTGTTTTGTTTTCAATTGGGGGAAATAACATGTTGGTATTCAGTATTCACTAGTCTGTAGAAGATTGTGATTTCAGCTTCTATATATGTTTTGATATTTATTTGATACTTATTCTTGGGTTCATCAAATGGGTGTATAAAGTGGTAGTTTCATGATCTTTGATCATAAGCAGGATTTGTGTAATTTCTGTAATTTAGAGAGTTAGGGTTCCTAGTAAGGAATTTAAAGAACTTATACTAGGATTTTAAATCAGGCACCATTAAAGGTATTGGAAGAGTGTAACTTGTTAGTCTGTAGAAGAATGTTATCAAAAATTTCAGCACTCAGCAGGATTTGCTAAGGATGGGAATATTTTTTTTGTTTTTGAATTAAGGAAAGACCACATGTGGAAGCTGGAATGAAAGACCTTTTTCTAAAATATGGTTGGATGTATAACAACAGTCACCAACTTTTCTCTAATTTTTGCTTGATAAAAAGCCAGCTTTTCCCTAAATTCTTTGAAGTTTGAACATTTTCGATAAGGGTATTGCAAGAGTCTAGCAAGTCTTTCTTGACTTGTGTGTTTAAAGAGTAATTGGAGAAGAAGATTCTGAACTCTAAATGCCTTTTCTTTTACTCATATTTTAAGATGTTGTTAAGACTGTCAAATACTATAGGCTTAATAATTTGAACCTAAAATCTCTATATTAAAAGTCCAATACTCAACTTGTTAGGATGTGTCTCAAGGGATTGTTTTTTGACTTTCGGAATATAGTCTTTAAAGCAGGAACGAGACATGGTTTAATTGTTGGCTTCTGGTGGATTGGAGATGCTCTTTGCCTTGGGGTTGAAGTGGCTCACAAGTAGGGAGTACGGCCTTATTGTGCAGTTTACAAGTAGAATGACCTTGATGTGCCTTAATTATAAATATAGAAATACTATATATACTATCAACCCTGATGAGTTAAATGTTCTAGTTTTCCAGGTGCAGGCTCTTCCAGTTGTGTATCTCAAGCAAGAAGTAGAAACTTTGGTGCCTGCTTGGTTAAATGCCCTTGGTGGTGCAGCCTCAGATTATCTGGAGCAAGAGCCGCAACAGGGTGACGGTAATGGGGTAAAGAGAGTGATTATGGACATATGCAAGGGAAGGATGGGAGAGTTCTGAAGCGTTTAGTCTGCTGATGGTTATTGCAACATCCCAAATTTAACTTGATTGCTGCTTGTATATATTGAAACTTGGAGTTGATTCTGCCTGCAGAGCGTTTCTTGCAAAATGATGGCTTGTTTTCATTCTTGCTCATTGCTGGGAGGCTTGAGTTGGAGAGTGTGCTCGCTATCTCCCAAGTGTAACAAGAGTCTCTTGTACAGCATGGTACCCTCTCCATTACTCCAGAATCAAATTAGGATATTCATTTTTGCGCAAGCCTTACAATATGGTAAAACTTAATTTTGAGATTAATACGAAAGCTATTGTTGATTACAGTAATAATCATTTTTAGTAAGACCAGATATATAGCAGCTACATTTTCAATTGTAAGTTAGAAAGGTGCAAATCAGCTCCTGAACTTGTACGGTGGTGGTGGATTTGACCTTTTATTATTATTTTGAACTGGGAAAGACATTTTGGCTCGTTAATTTTGAAATGAGATTATTGTTTTATTGTTTTATTGTTTTATCCTTCATAAACGTTTTAGCAACGTCTCTAGCATTATTAATCAAAGTAATTAGCATTTACAGGAAAAGGATAAATGTTCAAGGTTTTATACAAATAACATATAAAATTGTGTGTAAGTGGATTATAGCTGAAGAACATAGCATTAAATTCTCCCGAAGAAAGCTCCTATCACGTTGGGAGGATGTCCTTCACTAACTGCATCGTTGAGGCTTTTCTTTTAAATTCCAATAAACAAACCATCCGTTTTATGTTTTATATTTGAAATGTAGGGTTTGCCAAGGATAAATTAATTACACATTTTTATATTGAATTTCTATAGAGAATTATAATAGTTAACTTTAATTTGATCACAAATACCCCATGAATGCTTTTAATTGAACAATTGATAAAATAAATGTTAACTTTCAATTTATCAATACAAATTAATTATAAAAAAATACAATTGATATACTTTTAATATGTGCCTAGGGGTATATTATGGAAAAACCTTGAAATCTATGATGTAATTAATTACTTCTAGTTTGATTTAATTATCTCACTTCCTAAATAAGTGTGGTTTGATTTAATTGTCCTGTTTTTCATTTAAATAAGATATTAAATGTTAATATTTTATTTTTACCTTTGTCTCGAAAAAGATTAAAATGAATTACAAGACTTCTTGGTTTAATTATAAGGGTGACAATCAAAAAATAAGTTTCAATTATGTTGATAAATAAATTTCTTTATAGCTATAAATAAATGATGTGGGATAACTAAATTAGATATATATATATATATATTTAAATTCAAAGTTCTATTTTTCAATAGATTCTACGTCTCTATATCACAAAGGAATTTGTTGTTTCCAAAATCTCTCTTTCCAGTCACGTGACAGATAGGACTACAAAGGTATGCCACTCACTTCGCTCAAAGTGAAAAAGAAGAATTCATAGCAACTCTCACTACTTCCAATCGTGGAACTCAGCTGTGAGTTGAGAAAAGAGCACCAGTTAAACAAATTATGAGATATGCTTTGGTAAGATAATTGTCATAAAAACGAGGGTGCATTCTTACATAAAAGGTCCATCAATAATTGTTCTAGAAGAATATTAGGGACTTCCCACCACTAGAGTCAAAATATTAGTTTGCTGATCAAAATAAAAGAGAAAATAAAGGAAAAGAGAAGAAAGAGAGTGCATGGCAAGAAAACCAAATTGCAGAGAAGAAGGGTGATGCCGTTGCAAAAGCATATAACCATAAATAATGGAACAAAGGCTAAAATATAAAACTAAACTTAAAAGAAGCTACGAAGAGAAATTTAGAGCAAAGTGTAGTAAATTAAATTGCAAGAAATAAAATACATCAATGGAGACATTCAAAACAAAATAACAAAAACAAAAGTTAGAACTAGTAGCAGCGTAAAGTTAAGGACTAAATTAGGAAAGCTGGTTGAGAAAGCTAGATTTAAACTAAGACATTACTTGAGAAAATTGAAATGTAAATAACGCTGGACTAGTTGTGTGAGAGAAGCAGATCCGTCTTGCTTGATCTCATGATCAAGTATTTATAGCACTAAAGGCAGCATGTAGAGAACCTATGGCAGCTGTAATCTGCAACAGCCTCCTAAATCAACAGTAGCAAGGTGTAGAGTTGCAACAACATCTTGAAAATTAGCAGCAATATATATGTTGAAGATTTGCAACAAACCAACTAATCTGCTAACCATGTGGTAACAACAATCCAAACTAATTTGAAGATAAGATTGCAGCTGCTAACCCTTGACTCCTTCAAATTCAAAACAAATGGGACACATGGCTCCTTTTAATTAATTTGCAAAAATGGGTGTAAATAGAATCATACAAATTTTCTTTTCACGATGACTATGTAATACACAAAAAGAGAAGATTGTGATGGCCTGTAATACACAAGAAAAATGATTGATCCACCCTCCAGTTCAACACGCTTAACAAAACTCTCTAGTTCAGTCATTAAAATTTGCCTTTAAAAATTTTTTCACCTTAAATTCAAATTTGAAAATATTAGTTTCTTAATAAATAAATTAGAATGTGTTGTACAATATGTTGAACCGGAGGGTATACTAATTATTGTCCAATACACAAAAAGAAAAGATTGTGATGGCCTGTTTTTTAAAATTAAATTAGACATTTTAAATAGTCAATCTTTAAATATTTATAGATATTAAAAATCTATTTTCTTATAATATTTTGATGCAAAGCAAGACTATTATATGGTGAAGTCCTGTGTTAAGCAACAGCTCAAACCTTGATTAGTTAGGCCTCATCTTGTTTCTGCATGTCCCACAAAAAAATGAAAACGAATTATTCTAACCCTCACCATGTGTTATTCAAAACTTTTGGGTGCGTGAGCCATGGCTGGAAGATTCATTTTCATATCTTTGGCTTGAGTATGACTTGGTCCAAATTCACTTCAAATTAAGTTGCCATGAAACATTTTCAATCTGATAAACCACTGCTCTACTCACCTAATAATTAGATATTTTCAAGTTAATTTTTATGTATTTTGAGCAATATTAAGGAAATACCTGATTGATCCTACGTCAACTTATTATATTTTAAAAAATTAATTTCTCTCAATAGTAGCCTTAAATTTTAAATTTTAAATTAAATTTACCAATAACATTTATTTATTAATAAATTTAACTCTTAAAATTTTGTTATTTGCAATGGGGCACCAATATGGTCCAACGTTCCGTACTGGACGATGTTGGAATTAAATCACCTTTCAAGATTCGATTGATTAACTAGATGAGTATTTGGTACGTACATCATCACCCCATATATTTATGCAAAGCCATGAGCTAGCTACAAAAGAAGACAATACCGAAGTAAAAAAACTTCCATAAACATCATTCCTACTCGCCAAAAATGCACCGACTTTATCTTATTATTTGCTGCGTTCTTATGGCATCAATGCTTTTCACCTCACAGGGATTTATAGGTAAGCTTTCTCTTCTTTGTTTATGGATTAAAATTCAAAATTTACCTATAACCTTACCTTTCTTCTAATTTACTGAATAATTTCTGTAATTTCATATATTTAGAGTTTCAAGCTCATTCTCATAATAGATGTCTCTCCTTTTCATTCATCTATATATCAATACAATTTATTTATTTATTTGAAAAGCAAAGGAATTTTATTATATGAGTATAAAGGATACTCAAACCCATTGACATCATTACGTGAAGTTACACATAGAAAGTGGATCAAAATACAAAATCACAGCGCACTCCCAAAAAGAAAACCTGGAATTGAGCTCCCCATCTAAACTCTATTTCCTATTTGTCAAGCATCTCATTGGATTGGAAATCCATTCTATGAAAGAAAAATTTTCTAAATTCAACAGAATTCTAACCCAATGAAATGAACATGTTTGTACAAGTTCAAATAGATTGTCCTCATTAACCTTCTTATGTTGGAAAGCAGTTTCATTTCTACTCAACCACAATAACCACATTACGGTAAACCATAACATGTTTAAGCCCTTTTTCAGAATTTTTGAGCCCTTATGCCATCTGTGCTGGTTGAAAACATTAAGACAAGTATTCCCAAGAACATAATATAATCCCCACCAATTTGGACATTTTGTCCATAATTTGAATGAGATATGCAAGACACAAAAAGATGATCTGTATGTTCAGGAAATTGATCACACCAAAAACATTTTACACCTTGGTTGACATCTAGAATTCCTTGCTTCGCCAAGTTAACCTTTGTAGGAATTCTATCTAGAAGCAGTTGCCATGAAAAAGCACTCACTTTTGATGGGCTTTGCGCACTCCATATGTTTTTGTACTCTAGTAGCTTATTTTCCTCTTTCTTTGCAAGCTACTCGTAAGTTGACCTTGTGGTATATTTTCCCTCATTATCAGGCCTCCATCTCCAAGTGTCCTTCACGTCTTGCACTGGTTTTTTTGTGATTTATGACCTCGATCAATTGTTGCAGGTTTTCTTCCTTACAGGCTTTAAGTGGTCTTCTCCATTCAAACCTCCAACACTAGCATCCATTAGTCCTCCCTTATCATAGATGCTACAATTTTTTTTTTTTTTTTTTGCATCCAGCAAAAACAGTCTTGGAAAAACATTAGCCAGTAAATGCCTGCCCACCCATGCATCTAACCAAAACCTAACAATCTTCCCATCACCCAATTTCAGGTTGAAATTTGAAAGCAACCACCCATCCTTACTACCTAATCCTATGTTTAGTTTACAAATATTATTCCACCATGATGATCCTAAGCCCCTGCCCTCTCTCATCCATGATAACCAATTTCTCCCCTTGCTACCATATTTTTCTAAAAGCACCTTAGACCACAAACCTTTCTCTTCCCTTATTAATCTCGCCCACCATTTGCTAAGCAAGGCCATATTAAACCATCTTAGATTTTTTACCCCTAAACCTCCTTTTTTTCTGCAACACACCCTATCCCAAGCTACCCATGCTATCTTTCTACCTTCCTCAACTCCCCACAAAAAATTAAGGTTTAAGTACCATTTTGGTCCCTCAACTTTACACTTTGGTACCAAAATTGTCCCTCACCTTTAAAAAGTACCAAAATTATCCT